TTCTTTCCATCATGGCTGCCTTGGCCAAACCAAGGTCTGCTGAGATTCCCCTCCCACCTCCCCTCCTCTCCCGGCAGGTGTCTGTCCCACGGCTCCATAAGAACAGAAGCCCGCCTCAGTCTGGTCTCCCTGTGCGCACCCAGCTCTCATGATCATGGGAATGTTTTGCTTTAGACACAGAGTTGGGCAAGGGGGCGATTGCATGAGCGAAGAAGTAGGCCTAAGTACAGGAATGTGGCAAGCCAGCGGGAGGTGGCCCTGTGGGCTGGGGATCCCTAGAGAGTGCAGACAGCCTCTTAAGTACCTGAGTTTGAGGCCAGGTGAGGGCTTAGCAGGGACCTTCGCAAACGGCTTCTATCTGTGGGTGACAAATAAGGACGTGCAGCACAGCTGACCTGGCCATCAGACTCCTCCCCGTGGCCTGAGGCCTACCACCAGCCTCCTGCTGAAAGGTGACACTGCCGGGCTGGGTTCCCTCAGTCACTCCGTGAGAGCGGCCGGCCTCAGACTGGGTGGAGAATGCAGCTCGTGGCTGTGTCCGCAGTGATGGTAAGTGGCAGGCTGTTGGGAGCTCATCTCGTGGCAGGACAAGTTCGCGTGTGAACCGGGATTGCTGGTTCAACGCTGACATTCTGCCCCTCGCGTCCTCAGCGACCTTGGCAGATGTAGATGTGAGCGGGGGGCGGTGGGGGGGTTGGGGGAGCTGGAAAACAAACTCTTGACCCCCTTGCTCCCAAGCCCTCTTTTGGCTGCTGGTCAGCACTTGTTGGAGCCGAGCCATGTCCTGCATTCATGGAGGCCATGCTGTGATTGCTCTGGCACCCGGCAGCTGTCGCTTGGGCTCAGTTTGCATAAAATAGAAATAGCGCTGGCCGGCACTTGGTGTCGAGGTCAGCTGGATTATTTCAGCGAAGGGCCACAGCTTGGCGTGGCGTGGTCCACAGAGGTTCACAGGAAGGGCTCCCCTGGCATCTCCTGCCCATGGAATCAGACCGCATGCGCAGTGCTCCTAGATGACTGTGCACATCCGACACTGTATGGCTTTTTTAAATCCTCACCAAAGGATATGTTTATTGATGTGAGCGAAAGAGAGAGAGAAACAAATATGAGAAAAAGAGCATCGATAGTACATCGAACCCTCAACCTAGACATGTGCCCTGACCAGGAATTGAACCCGCAACCCTTTGGTGTACAGGATGCTGCTTTAACCATCTGAGCCACCCAGCCAGGGTGGAATTGTTAGTTTCTATGCCACTGCATTCTTCCTTCTTCCCCATACACAGGCAGGTGTCTGGTTTGGGGATCATACCCATGTGCTTGTAGTAATACTCTCCATTTTTTGGAATTAATTTATATCCAGTTCAAGGGTGGGACAGGGAGACAGGGGCAGGTGCTGGGCCTGGATTTGAGTGGTACTGAGCTTCCCGTCCCCACAGTTCACTGGCTGTGAAATGAGACTGAACTAATGACAATAGCAAGGGTTTGGTGAGGAGGAAGAGGAGACGGAGGAGGAGAAATGACCCCTGTACGGTCTTGGTGGGAACATAAATGGCACAGCTGCTATGGGCAAGAGTCTGGTGGCTCCTCAAAAAGGTGCACATAGAACTACTCTGTGACCCAGTGATTTCACTCCTAGGCATATTCCAAATGAATTGAAAACAGGGACAGACAGCTAGGTGTACACACATGTTCATACGTGTTCACAGCAAACTCCCAACTTTCTGGTGCCCTAGCCTTGCCCTTACCCCGGTGCTATTAACGCTTGGGACTGGAGAGTTCTTTGCAGTGGGGACTGTCCTGTGCAGTGGAGGATGTTCAGCAGCACCCCTGGCCTCTACCTACTAGATGCCAGTAACACCCTTCTCCTAGTTGTGACAGCCAAAAATGTGTCCAGACATTGCCAAATGGCCCTGGGGAACAAAACTGCCATTGGGTGAGAATCACTGGGTTTTTTTTTAAACAAATATGTATACTGATTTTAGAGAGAGGAAGGGGAAGAGAGAGAGAAACACTTATGTGAGAGAGAAATATCAATCGGTTGCCTCCTATATGTGCCCTGACCAGAGATCTAACTCGTGACCTAAGTATGTGTCCTGACTATCGAGCCGGTTACCTTTTGGTGTACAGGGCGACGCTCCAACCAGTTGAGCCACCCGGGCAGGGCAAGAACCACTGGTCTTAACTCCTACACCTATTCCCTCCTAGGGGCAGGGTCTATTTTTGACTCATTTCTTGCACATAGTAAGTCCTCAAGAAAAGCTTGAAAAGTGTCAGCAAGAAATGTCATAATCCTGAGATCGCTGGCTTACATGTGCCCTCAGGACAAATTTTGAAATCGGTGATTGGCAAATGGCATCACCAGAAATGTGGCCAAGGCTCTCCTGGCTTCCGCAGGTGCCCCAGGTGCTCCTGGCCGGGGCAGAAGGCCACTCCCTCTCACGCCACACTGGCCAAGCACTTCCACAGCCCAGCAGCCCACTCCCACCGGGCTCCTGTATCCTACAACTTTGCTCCATTTGTTTATTCCTGTTAGTTTTTTGTTGCTGTTTGTTCTTCAGAATTTCCTACATAGAGGATCGTGTCAGCTGAGAATAAGAATGGCTTTACATCTTCTTTGCCAGATTGGACGTCTTTGTTTCTTTTTCTTGTTTAATTTCTCAGGCTAGAACTTTCAGTACAACATTGGCTGGCCATGGTGACACTGGGCACCATGTTCTTGGGGGGAAGTGTTCAGCCCTTCACCGTTGACTATCGATCAGCTTTTCATAAATGTGTATTAATTAGTACATGGAAGTTCCCTTCTATTCCTAGTTTCCTGAGTGCTTTTATCATGAAAGGGTGCTGGGTTTTGTCAAATCCTTTTCAGAGCCAATTGAGATGATCATGTGCTTTTTTTCCTTTTGTTCTATTACTGTGGTTTATTACATTGGTTGATGTTGGGCCACACTTGACTGATCCTTTCTTTTAAACAAAAACTTGATGACCTTAAAAAAAAAACAACCAACCATTCTGACTCTGTGTATCACCTAGAACATATTGGGGTGGCCAAAAAGTTTGTTTAGGTTTTTTTCCTTAAAAGAAAAGACACATTTTTCATTTTCATCAGTTTATTGATTTAGATATTTTTAGTATGTTGGCTCTCTCCTGCATGGTAGAATGTGGATTGTTCTCAATTAATGTCTTGAATTGATTGCTATCAACTTTGACTGGTCTACCCGACCATGGAGCATCGTCCAGGGAGAAATCTCCAGCATGAAACTCCACAAACCACTTTTGGCTCATTTGATCAGTCACAGCACCTTCTCCATACACAGCACAATTCTTTTATTGTGCTTCAGTTCCATTTTTACCTTTCTTGAAATAAGAAAACATAATATGCCGAAAACATTGCGTATTTTCTTCTGTCTTCAGTATTAAAAAGGCTACACAAAAATTCACCAATTTTGGTACGTTGTTTTAACTGCACGCTGATAGGACAGCTGTCACCATACAATCTAACAAAATTGTTTTGAATGAAGTTAGAGACAACTGAGTGGTACTAGAGCCATCTTACGGAAAAAACCAAATGATCTTTTTGGTTAGCCCAATACCTTTGACAACAACACTTTGGCAAATTCTGTTGCCGAAAGTGTTCAGGAAGCACATAGACCAGGTTGTTCTGGGAGATCTGGAGAACTTTTTGCCTTCCCTTAAGAACCTTGTGTTGAAACTAAACAAACAAAAAAGATCTTTCAGATACTACATTGATATGCTTAAGCTTTGTGATCCTTTTTTAATGCTTTCATCCTATCACTGTCGCAAAATTGGGGCTCAGAAGTGTCAAAAGTGTTCAGGTCATGTTTTTGTTTGTTAGCTTTTTAACAATGTGCCCTTCAAATAAAAATAACAATTATCTAGTCATCAGTAGTGCAGAATTAGTGTGGTAGGAAGAGGCATGTGTTAGAAATCAGAATATCTACATTCATTTACTCAACAGAGTGAATTTCTGCCCATGGTTGCGCTCTCACGCTAGACCTGGCACTGTTCTGGGCCCTGGAACAGACAGGGCGTGCTCTGCCCAGTCTTGCTGCTCTTTCCTCCTGTCTGTACGCAGACTCCACGTCAGGTGCGCTAGCGCCATGAGGGAGGTGAGGCAAGGCGCCTTTCCTCCTGCCACTACGATGCTCATGATGATAATACGATGGTGATAATGATGGTGGTGAAGATGATGACAGAAGTGACAGTCCCTTTATATCTTCAAGTTGGAATATATTGAAGTCTTTTTTTTTTGATAACAGCTTTATTGAGCTAAAATTCACATATGATATGATTCACTCATGTAAAATGTACAATTCAGTGGTTTTTAGTGTATTCTCACTACCATCAATTTTAGGACAGTGTCACCACTCCAGGCAGACACCTTGTACCCTTTAGTTACCACCTCGATCCCACCAGCCTTAGGCAACCACTCATCTTCTATCTCTCTGAATTTGCCTCTTCTGGGCACCTTATCTACATGGAATCATACAATATGAGATCTTTTGTGACTGACTTCTTTAACTTTGCATGTTTTTAAGATTCATGCATGTTGTGGTATGTATCGATGTTTCATTCTTTTTATGGCTAAATGATATTCCATTGCATGGATGGACTGCGTTTTGTTTATCTATTTGTCAGTTAATGGACATTTGGATTGTTTCTACTTTTTAGATATTTTGATGCTGTAAGAGTCCTTTAACGTACATGATCTCATTTAGTTCTTGCATGCATGTTTATAATTTACAGTGAGCATGTGTTAGCGTACCTAAATTAGAAGTGAGAAACCCAGAATCAGCAGCATTAAGGAACATACCCAAGACCACGGCACATGATGAGCTGAAACCGGGAGGAGGACCCTTTTCTCCTCCTGTTCTGTCGGCTGAATACACAGGCCCCAGCTTACTCTCACTGCACTAGCTCCTTTAAGAGAGAAATAACTCGATTACTCAGACCCTAAAGCATCTCTCCTTTTCTCCTTACAGGTTTTCTGAATGACCCTGCTTTTTTTCCTAACTTGTCTGATTATCTCCTGGCTGACCTTGTCCTGGTTAAAAATCTGGGGGAAAATGACGGACTCCACACCGGTTACCAAGAGCAACTCGGAGGCAAACGCCCTCCCGAACCAGGAGCCCCTTCCAGTGTCCGACAGCTCAGAGGAGCCAACGCAGAAAAATGGAGACAGCAGCTCTGTGCCAAGGACTCCTGACCACCCTGGGCCGGCTGACCAGGCTGAGCTGGACTCCCTAAAAGGTCCCAAAGATGCCTGTCTGCAGAGAACCTCCCGGCCGCCTCTATATCGGAATCCTCAAAAAAGCCCCGTTCCCTCCCGTGATGCCTCCCCAGCCAATGGGACAGGGACTCGCGGCTCGGAGGCCCCAAATACCAATGGCCTGTCCTCACCAACCAGACCCCAGGCCCGAGGCAGAGCCCTCTCCAAAGAAGACCAGAAACAAGCGCACATCAAGCGGCAGCTGATGACTAAGTTCATCCTTGGGTCCTTTGATGACAACTCCTCCGATGAGGACCCTGGCACTGGGTCCTTCCGAGAATCTTCCCGCAGAGGCAGCCGGGCCAGCCTGGGGGCCCTGTCCCTGGATGCTGCTCGCTTTGCAGGTGACTCTGAGTCCACTGTCCCCACGATGAGGTAATATGCCCTGTGTCCCTGAGGTAGGCAAGGGTCTGCACCGCCCCCCTGCTTGGCCACGCCATCCCCTGGTGCCAACACTTCCAGGGTAGCTGTGCAAAAAGCAGGAGACATTAGCCTTCTCCCCCCTCCCCCCGCCCCGTCCTTCTCTCCCGTCAGAATCATTTGTTAAACATCTACTGTGTGTGCAGAAACTGGCTTTCTAGCCAATCTCAGCCAAGCTGGGGAAGATGACCTTGCGTGTGACTAGTTATAATTTAAGCCCAATGAGCTAAGGCTGGCTGGAGCTGCAAGGGATGATGGGAGCCTGAAGGGCAGGAGAGTTTCCCTGCCTCCTAAACAGACTTCATTCCTTCTTTCTTTCTTTCATTTTTTTAAGCAATATTTATTTTTAAAGAGAGGGGAAGGGAGGGAGAAAAAGAGGGAGAGAAACGTTGATGTGTGAGAGAAACATTGATCGGCTGCCTCTCGCACACCCCCAATAACCGGGGACCTGCAACCCAGGCTTGTGCCCTGGTGGGGAATCGAACCGGCGACCATTCAGTTTGCAGATTGGCACCCAGTCCACTGAGCCACACCAGCCAGGGCTCATTCCTTGTTTCCAATGAGGGAGAATCCCATGTGGAGGTAATCTTTGGGGAGTCAAGGCTTAGACGCTTGCCCTGGGGCCACTTAACCAGGGGTCGGCTGCGTGAAAAAATGATGTCAACCCTCAGTTCCAGCTGGCTGGACACAATGCATCAGAGTAAGGCCAAGTGCTCTGTTATCTGGTTATAGAGTTTTGGCTTTGATATTTTGGCATCTTTGGGGACCTCGGGAGCCTGGTGTTTGACAGTCCCCTGTTAACCCTTCTGCTCACACCATTGGCAGGGCCTTGGGCCAACTCTCTGAAGGGATGTTCAGGGAACCCTCCCTAAACCCCCCCCCCAAAAAAAAAAACCCTCCAGAGTGTTCCTTTGTGGGGCCCTGCTGCTAGGCTATTATATGGGGTGGTGACATCTTTTCCCAGGGGGCCCACAGGTGAAATGTTCCGGCCAGTTCAGATGTGGGTCATGGGGTTCAGGGGTGGACAGGCTGGCGTGCCACCTGCCACCAGCTGGAGCATCAAGGAAATGAAACCTGTTCTGGGAGGCCAACGTGGTGACAGAGTCCCTGTTAGTTGCAGGAAATTCTCTTTGTTATTATTATGAGGTGGTTTTTTTTTTTTTTTCTGATAAGCTGCTCAGTAGCCTGCGCCCTCAGGCAGATCTAACCTCTCTAGCCTCCCTCCTGCAAAGGACTCCTCCTTCTTCCAGCCCTGCTCAATCTCCTTCCCTGTTCCTTACACAGTAAACAAAGGCCTGAGAGAGTTTATTCCAGGGCTCCTCCGGGCTCCCGTGGAAACCACAGCAAAGAAGGGACGAATGTCTGTGGGTCTTTCCTCCTCGGGAGCCACTTGGCCTCTGTGCTTGTGCACGAACGTCACCTCGTGGCCCACCAGGGTCTCTTCTTTCCAGGCCACCCTCTGTGATACTGGCAAGGCCAGGGATGGCAAAGGCATGTGTTTAATGTTTGGGAGGAAGTGCTCTTTGAAGCAGTCTGCAAAGGGGACTTTTTCTTCCTGCTCTGCCTTCCCCGTCCCAGAATACGCACAGCCACTGCCGTTTCCTCTTTGGGCCCTGCTGGGCTGTGACCCAGCAGTCCCATTGCGCCATGTGCCCTTGGCTGAGTGCTCGGCCATCAGCATGTGGAGCTTCTTAATAACTTTTGCACAAGGGCTCTACATTTTGCTCTGGGCCCCATAAATTCTGTAGCCACTGTTGCCTCCCCCTCCAGCTTTTGCCTATCAAAGTCACCGCCTCCGAGGGCCCTCCCTTTGCCCCTCCCACCTTCAGAGTATTCCCCTTGTGCCCCCAGTTTCTTGATCCATCACTCTGATGTGTTGTTTCCACAACACTCAATCACTCCTTGAGATTATGTCTTTGATTTCCTTATTTGTTTACTTAGTTTTCACCTGTCTCCTGCAAACTCCATCAAAACAGAGCCATGTTTGTGGGGTCTCTGCTCTTCCCCACTCCCTAGCCTAGTGTGGGCTCATGGTAGACTTTGGGTAAATACTTGCCAAATGCATGAATGAAATGAGTAGGGCATACTTGTCAAAGACAGAATATTTATTTCTGGGGCACGCAGAACACTTGATGAATGAGTCTGAGTGTAGATGGATGGATGAATGAATGAACGAATGAATAGACATTTTGTTGTTGCTCTTTAGCAGAAATAGAATTTTTGTTCTCATAAAATTCTTCTTTGCGTAAATCTTGTGACTTCATAGACTAGGTCTGAGATTAAACTCCAATTTTGAATTTTTCTTCTGCTTTTTATATGGCTGTGTAATCTTGCCCTTCCTTTCCATTTTCCCAGCTGACAAGGGCTGGCTAAAAATATGATAGATCCAGTGACTTTGTGCTGTTTGTTCAGGTCTCTCCTGCCCTCCAGTCTCTTCCCTTTTGGGTTCATCTCAGGCCAGGGTAGGGGATTGGCCTTTCCTTGCACTTGGAAACAGTCCCCGAAGGGTGGAAATCCATGCAACCCTTAGAAATAGAGGTGATGAGAACATGACATCATGTGGCAAAATAGATGCTCACATACTCTGAAATGAAGGTCACAGGTCTTCCCATTTTGTTTAACAAGCAGCAGTGTGGTTAGTGCACAATGGGGTCAGATACCAGGTTCAAAGCCGCCTCTTACTAGCTTGTTATCCTGATGGTGCCTCCCTGTGAGGCACATGTGTGGACAGGGTGGGATGGGATAGGTTCGGGATTGTGCAACTCGGTCCTGAAAGTTAGTTACGAAATTCAAGTTCATGAGTTGGCCGTGAACTCATTTAATAGCAAACCCACCTGGAATAGTTGTGAAGTTATTTATAGTTTTTATCACATTTTGTGTGAATATACATGTCTTCTGCTGCTGAAATATTAATGTGAAAATGTGTAATGTAAAGTTGTACCTTCCTAAAAAGAAATTCCCCAATTCCAAAGCTCATGGGGCCCTGGGAGTTTCGGGAAAAAGATTGTGGGTACGTGTATGTAACATGCTTAGAACATTCCTGGCACATAGTAAACACACAAAAAATGCTTGTGCTTAATAAATATATGTATATGTGTGGCTAGAGAGACAGGAAGGAGTGTCCTCAAATAGTTAATAATCATTGTCTTTATGTGGTATGATTATCAGTAATTTAACTTTTCTTCTGTTTTCTAACTTTCTGCTGTAAATATAGTTATAACAGGTTTTAACAGAGTTTAATAATAAAACATTATAAAAGATATTGGAAGGGGAGTGAACCAGTCATCTTACTCCCTAGATAAAGAAGCTGAGGCTGGAGAGGTTCAGGGGTCTTGTCTGAGGTCTCCCAGTAAGATCGCCATAGGCCCAGAGCACCATTTTAGCCCAGACCATCAGCAGATACAGATCAGAAAGCAGGCTACAGCCTCTCGGTATTGAGGTTGCCACCTCACTGGGCTCCAGTAAATGCACCTCCACCCTCCTTCTAACTTGTCCTTTCAGTTGATGGAAGAGTCAGGAAATGGGGCAATTTATCAAGCAACCAGCTGTGTGATCTTGGGGACATCACCTACCCTCTCTGGGCCAGACTGGATATTCCGAGGTCCTTTGTGGCTCTAACAGTCTTTGCTTTTTCTTACATCCTCACCCAAGGATATGTTTATTGATTTTAGAGAGAGAGAGGAAGGGGTAGAGGGGGAGAGAAACATTCTCTCAGTGTAAGAGAGAAACGTCCATCAGTTGCCTTCTGTACATGACCCAGCTGGGGATCCAACCTGCAACCTAGGTACGTGTCCTGACTGGGGCTCGAACCTGCATCTGTTTGGTGTACAGGACGATGCTCCAACCAACTAAGCCACCTGGCCAGGGCTGCTTTTGCTTTTTTGTGTGAGGAGGGGTAGGTGAGGGCTGGTAGATGGAGAAAAGAGAGCAGCTGGAAAACTGGAAGAAGCTTAACTTATAACCATTTCTACTTCTCCAATTACTGCAGAGGGCCTGGGCGCCAGGCAAGGTAAGGACAAGCTAAGAGATGAAATGGTCAAGCGGAGGCGCTAGGTTTGCCCCCTCCACTCACTGGCTTGGGAGCATTTGTTGCAGCCCTGCTGGGTGAGTGCCAGGCACCGTGATCGGCACTATGGACGTGTAGACAGCGAGACCTGGCCCCCGCCCTCAGAGAGGACAGGGTGAGGCCTGAGAGGCATGAGCCCAAACATTGCCCTTCATGGACGGAGAGAGTGGGGGAGGGGTGGAGGCCAGCGCCCCGAGGAGTGGCCTGCCAACTCCTCCCCTCCACCATCGGGACCTGGGGCTGAGCTGTCACCTCTTCGTGCTTCAGCGTCCTCTAAAGTGAGGCCACAGTGGCACCTGCCTCACAGGGCCTGTGTCAGGCTTAGCTGGGTTGCTATGAACACAGCACCTAAAGCAGTGCCCACCGTGCAGCCATTGTCATTGAATGCAAAGCACAGTGTCATAGTAAGAGCCCAGGCCCCGTCGTCAGACAGGCCTGGGTTCATATCTCGGAGTAGTCTCCTGACTCCTCTGAGCAGCAGTTTCTTTCTCTGGTGAAGCAGGCTCCCGCTGGGGCTCCTGTGGAAGTGTGCTGAGGTCACTCGGGAGGAAGTGCCAGGAGTGGGTGTCCCCAGGCTGCCCCAGTTGCCATCTGTCGAATGGGCACCTCCCAAAGTTCTTGCCTGTGTCCATGGATGTTCCCAAGCTCTCATGGGGCTATTCTTTCAAGGTATGGCAACCTGTGTCCACGGAGGAGGAAGAGGGATTGAAAAGGCAGGTGGAGTGTCCCAGATACAGGATAAAATACAAACCAGCACACGGGGAATGGGTTTTTTCTCTGCCATTTCCCAAAATGCTCGCTTCCGCGTGGGAGTGCTGAGTTAGGGAGGTGCAGCAACGCACACTCGTATCCTGGGAAGGCAAGTGAGGGTCTGTGGGGTGTGGACACG